TCTAGTAGTGGTAGAGACAATAACCAACAGGAAGTTGGACACCAGCAAAGAAAAAAAGATAGGTTGCTGGATTATATGGACGCACCTCATAGTGAACAATATGAAGATAGTGACTATATAAAATATTGGGGTCGTAACAATCAATTTCCAAACACTTTTGTAGATGCACTCAGAAAATCTGCAATTGCACAAGGTTTATTGAATTTCAAAAAAAATGTATCAGTTGCTGGAAACTGGTATACTTACGAAGAAATGCAAGAAGGGGAGGGTATCAATAGACGTGTAATGAAAGTTCCAATACTAGATATGGAAATCAAGCGTTTTTTTAAAAAAATAGATGCTAGAAAGCTACTTCGTACTATGACTCAGGACTGGGAATATGGGAAAAACATATTCGTCCAAATAATATTAACCAAGGATGGCTCTAAGGTTGCTTCAGTTAAAAGGTTAGATTTCACACGTTGCCGTGTGAGCGAAAACAAGAAGTATGTATACTTCTATGATGAATGGTATAACATTAGCACAGAGAGTGCTCCTACAAAATCAGACAACGATGTCAAAAGATTAAAGATGTATACCGAAGACCAAATAGAAGAAATTATTGAAAAACGCCCAAAAGATTTTGTATTGCATGTCAGAAATGACTACTTTAATAACGACTTTTATGGAGTTCCTGACGGTATCCTAGGAGCTTATTCTTGGATTGTTAGCTTGAATGAAATACCTCATTTGAAATATGCTTTCATGCTTAAAGGAATAACTTTGAGATACCATATAAAAGTTAATATAGAATATTTTGAAAAGGTTTATCCCACTTCCGAAAAAAATCCATCTACAGGAGATACTTACACAGTCCAAGACTGGCAAAAAATAGAACAAGAATTATTTGAAAGTATTGACAAAAACCTTTCTGGAACCGACAATGCATACAAAAGTATTCATTCAAAATTTGAGTATGATCCAAATGGAAAAGCAAAAGATTACATCCTAATAGACCCAATAAAGGACGAAGCAAAATATGACGCGTTCTTAAAAGACTTAGAAATGGGGATGTACCAAATCACTTCGGCTGCTAATGTAGACCCTTCACTTGCTGCAATTACAAGCCAAGGCCAGCTTAGTAGCGGCAGTGAAAAACAAAATGGGATTAATATTCATATACTATATCATACTCAGGAGTCACGGGATGCTACACTAAAAGTTTTGAACCTTATCAAAGAGCTTCAATTTGTTGACAAAGAAAATATAGAAGTTGGTATCAAAGATTATTTTTTGGTGACAAGTGATGTAGACAAGAATAAGGTAGTTAGTCAAGAAAACAAGCAAAAAAGCCCAGTAGAAAACGCAGAATAGATATGCTAATAAAAACTACAGAAGAATTAAAATCCATACTAGGTTCTATACAAAAGAATCTTAGCATAGAAACTATGAGTTCTTACATTACAAATGCTGAGATACTTTATATCATTCCGCTTGTTAGCCAAGCGGAGTTCAATATCATACAAGCTGAGTATGATTCAGGAATACCTACTCCTCCCTACGATGAATTGATTACAAAAATACAGCGTTCACTCGCCTATTATGCCATCCGAGATTTTGTAAGAACAAATCTTACAACAAAAGGGGACGCTGGATACAAGGAAGTAGAAACCGAAGACCTCACACAAGCAAGGCAATGGGTGACTTACAATGAACTAAACCACTACACCAACTATGCCGACACTTTTGCAGACGCTTTTTTGGTGTTTATGGAGGAGCAGAAAGTAACTTTCACAGCGTGGGCAAGCTCAGAAGCTTACACAAAAACCGTAGAGCTTACTATTAACAATGCTTCTGAGCTTTCAAACATCATAGATATTAATAATAGTAGAAGGGCTTACACTAAGCTGCGAACCTTTTTAAGACTCTGCGAGGAAAAGTATTTAGAGGCTCTAATGGGAAAAGAGCAATTGCAAGCCTTAAAAACAAAATTCCAAGATGATGGCTATGATAGTTTTACTGAAATTCAAAAAACAGCGTGGGACTATATGCAAAAAACCGTTGCTTATTTTTCCGTATTTGAGGCTCATACTAATCTCACACTAAAAACTCGCGATGATGGAACAATGGTAATCCCATCAATTGAAGACGGAAATAGAAAAGATTTAGAGCTTTCAAGAGAGAAATCTTATTATTTATCTGAACAGCACAATAAAAATGGCCAAACTTATCGCGGAAAGTTACAATCATTCCTCAATGACAATGTAGACAGCTTTCCAGAGTATCAAAACTCAGTTCATTACACGACTCCGCCAACGCAAGAAGAAATAGATGAATTAAGATTAAGCAACTACCAACGCCGTTCTACCTTCTCCTTTTAAAAATGCATACAATAAGCCTAGAAAATATCAAAAAATCATATAGTTTTCCTTCTAATTTAGACGAATTAGAACGGAAAAAACTATTAAAATCATTCATTTATGCTAATTCTGAAAACAATCAGCGTAGCAAGTTCAAAACATTACAGCTATTTCTTCCAAATACATTCTTAAAAAACCTTCAAGGCTGGCAATTATACGAAATCTCAAAACTTGTAGGCCAACTTCAAAACACAAAACTTCAAAAAGACACCCTTCACACCTTCAAGTTAAACAAGAAAACTTACGAAGGTCCAGGGGATAACTTCCTAAACCTAACACTGAATGAGTATATATGTGCTTATTCACTTATGTTCTATTATCAGGTTGACCCCGAAAAAAACCAAAAGGCTATATATGATTTTGCTTATTGTTTATATAGAAAAGTAGGGAGCGATGGAAGGGAGCCATTCCATGCCAATACACTTATTACGGATAATTGCAAAAAAGAGTATTCAAATATACCTACTCACATCCTTCAAATCATTAGCCATTACTTCCTATCAAATCAAGATGAGCTTGTATTTAAACGCTACAGTACTTCACTTTTTCCTCAAAAGAAAGGAAAAGGAGGGAAAAAAAAACACAAGCCCATAAATTGGAATAAAATTATAATTGGATTTGTAAAAGAATTCGGGCAAACAAAAGAATATTATGAAAATATGCTTCTCTCAGAATTCTTAGAGATGTGGAAATTGCTGATTGAAAACAACAATAAAGCTTAGGGCAAAATGGCTAAAGCAATTTTTTTTTCAATAAATATTGTGATGATTTTTTGGTGTTTCCTAGCTAACGAATTATTATTTGTATTATTTGGAAAACAAAAAGGGGGAGGAATAGAAAAAGAAAAGTCAAATTTTTCTACTTATTAGATAGGGCTTTCAGGCTAGATTGTATATCAGCAAAATTCATTTGAAGATTAGCATTGCTTTGTTGACACTTAGATATAATGTCATTCTTTTCTTGAATTTCAGATTGAAGAAATTGTATTGTCTGTTTTAAGTTTTCTATCAACTCTGCTTGCGGTACAATATTCTCTACTTTTTCTTTTTCAAAAAAATCAGCCATTTCTATTCCGAAAATTTCGGAAGCTTTTCTGATGTATTTTGTATGAAAGTCTTCTTCTCCGAATATTCTGCTTAAGCTTGATTGGCTATCAAAACCTAAGTGTCTATATAATTCTTTGTACGATATATTATAGACACGTGCAAAATCTCTCATTTTTTCTCCTAAATGGATTTTATTTTTATTTTCTTTCATTTTTCAGTTATTTTTTTTGTTAAATAGAAATTTTTTCTATATAATTGTAAAAGCATACAATATATGCTTAAAGGTATACAATATATATTTAAAATCAAAATATTTTTCAAATGGCCGAAAGAAATGCTTTTTTTTCTTACTATGAAGATTTATCTAGGAAAAAACAAAAATTAGTAAGAGATAGGTTTAAAAAAAAAGGATTAAGCTGGACTTCATTTCTTCAGAAACATTCCTACAAAGAAATGGATAGGTTAACAATCTATCTAATGGTAGGGTATTTTGAGATTTTTGAAGTAAATGATGAAGATAAAAAAAAGATAACGTCAAGTGTAGGCTTGATATAAAAAAAGTCAAAGTGTGTCCGCACTTTGACTTATGGTAAAACGAGCATAGTGCTCATTAAATCTAAAATATATGGCAAATTACGTAAAAATACCTGACAATAAAAAAACTAATGTAGGTATGATTAACCATTCTTCTTGCGAGTCTACGAATTACAGGCTTAGGCAAGAATTGAATTCTACACGTCAAGAGCTTCAAAGACTTAAAGATAAGCTTGAAAAAAAAGGGAGAAAAACAGATGCATTTGCAGCCATAAGATCTGCAAAAAAACGAACTACAAAACTTGTACCTACTCAAATAGATGACTTCAACAAATACATATCTAATAGAGGGAAAAATGAACTTATAATTTTGCTCGCGTTTTTTACGCGTTTGGAAGCGATATTTTTGGATGCAAATGCCATCAATATGAGAATGTTGAGTGACTGGTGCAACTATGAATTGAATACAAGGATATGAGTAGCACACAACCAAGAAAATTGAAATCGCATATTAAAATGCTTAATGGTGATGAATTCACCGCAGAGCTTATGCCAGAACCAGGGTGCAATCATATTGCCTTAAAAGAAAGGCATTGTAAATATGCCTTCAAAGCCTATGAATGCACAGAATGCCTGAAGGTATTTACGGATTCAGAATTGAAGAATAAACATAAACTAGACAAATTTATTGTTTCTAACTGTCTAGCCATATAACTCTATTTAGGGTTTAGATAGAGTAGTAGTTTCAAATAATGAGGGAGCCTTGTTTCCTCATTATTTTCAAGTCCCTAAAATAACAAATAAAAAGTGAAGTGAAATGATTAGAGAAGAAACTATCAAGAAAATATTATCTGATGTAAGCATTACAGAAATTGCTACTGAATACAGAAATATACACAAAGGAGGCTTTGTACATTCTATCTATACAGATGAAAAAACGCCTTCTATGAAATTATACGAAGACACAAATTCCTATTATTGCTTTTCTCAAAAAAAAGGAGGAAATGTAATTCAATTTGTAATGGATATTGAAGGGATGGACTTCGTGAACTCTGTAGAAAAAATTGGGAAAATATGCAAAATAGATATACAGCGAAGCAATGGCAGGGAGCTTACTCAAAAGGAGATAGATGAAAAAAAGCACAAAGAAAGTCTTGAGAATGCTCTTATCACTGCTCATAATTTCTACAGAAAGCTATTTGGATACTCCAAGGCTCCCCAAGCATATCTTGAAAAACGAGGGTTTAATGAGGAAACTCTCCTCAAATTCGAAATAGGTTTTGCCTCAAACGATTGGGCAAAATTCATAGACCATGCAACTAATTACCACAGCAAAACAAATCTTGAACAAGCCAGCTTAATATCAAAAAATACTGAAGGGAAATATTTTGATAGGTATAGGAACCGAATCCTATTTCCTATTCATAACCATATCGGGAAATTAACTGGATTTGCAGGGAGGGCCATTGACCCAAAAGAAAAAATCAAATACATTAACCCAGCAAATGGGTTGCTCTACCAAAAGTCTCAAGTAATTTTTGGCCTATACCAAGCCACAAAAGCAATTAAAAAGCATAATGAAATATATGTAGTAGAAGGCTATACGGATGTTCTTCGCTTTCATCAATTAGGTGTAAGTAATGTAGTGAGCTTGTCAGGAACCAAGCTAAGCCAGGCGCAAATTATACTTTTGAAAAAGTATTCAAAAAATATAACCTTGTGCTTAGATAACGATAGCGCAGGGCAAAAAGCTATCATTGACAATATTGATAAGCTAATCAAAGAAGATATAGAGGTTAGAATCGTAGTTTTTCCTAAGAATCAAGACCCTGACAGTTTTGGCAAAAGCTTATCATTTAAGTACAAAGCTGAGGGTACAGCTCGCACTCATTTCAAAAAACACTTGATTGAAAAAAAAGAAAATTTCATTAAGTACAAAGCTAAACTATTTGCACACATCGCTGGCGATGACATTACAAAGCAATCTGAGCTAATGAATGAATTAGCTCATAGTATATGTGAAATTCCTGACGATGTGAAAAGGGAATTATACAAAAACGAAGCTTGTGAGATTTTCAAGCCCCTTAAAAAATTTGCTTTTACCAAGGTTGCAAAGCAAATCGATGAAGAAAGGAGAGCAAAGAAGATTGATACAGGTGAAACAAATGAGGAAAACAACCAAAATATCATCTATATCATAGAAAAGTATTTTTCAAAGCACTATCATTTCCGTATCAACGCGATTGAAGGGAGCTTACAAGCGAAGCTTCGCCCGCAGCCGCAAAAAAGTGCCTGGCAATCTAGGTCAAAAGATTTAGATAGCGAGACATATAAAAGTATTGATGTGGGTGCATTATACATTGAGATGCTTACACTTAATCTACAAAAAGTAAGTGAAAGCTTGCTTGAAACATTGCTCAAAACATCTGTAGATAGATACAATCCTTTTCAAGAATATTTTGAAAGCCTCTATTACGATGGCTCTGGCGAAGAAACTATTAAGGAGTTTGCCAGTTGTTTGCCCATGAACCCCATCGACAAAGTTTTTTTTGAATCACAACTGCCGAAATGGATGGCAAGAGTAGTAGCCAGTTGCTTGGATGATAATTATTATAACAAGCAGGCTATTATTTTTATAGGTCCTCAGCACAATGGAAAAACACATCTTTGTAGGTTCTTTACCCCAAAACCACTTGAAAAGTATAGAACGGAATTTTTAGAGGTTAACTCTAAAGATACTCAAATAGCTTTGGGTGAAAATATGTTTGTAAATATTGAAGAAATAGATAAGATGCGCGATAAGGATGTAGCAGCAATGAAGTCGCTTATGTCTATTGACTTTGCTAAAGTACGGCCTCCTTTTGAGCGAAAAGCAAAAATTGTATCAAGGCGTGCGAGTTTTTTAGGAAATACTAATAATACTGAGTTTTTGAAAGACAATTCAGGGGGGAGTAGCCGATGGTTATGCTTTGATGTAAACAATAAGATTAATTGGAAAAAATACAAAAATATTGGTATTGAAAAACTTTGGGCTTATGCCTATCATCTGTACTTAGAGGCTATCAAAATAGATAGTGAATTTTCAAGGCTAGAAATGACAGCCGAAGAAATGGAGACTAATAATGAGCGCAATAAAAGGTATTACAGTTTTCCTGAAGAGATGGTTTATATTTCTAGACATTATGAACTACCAGATATACCAGATAAATATTTTAACTCTCAAAATATTAGTGAAATTATGAATTCAGACCCTACTATAATTATGAAGAATGCTACTGAAATAAAGATAGATTTAGAAGATTTCTATTCGGATAGAGGCAAAAAGAATTTAAAGCTATCTAACAAAAATATAGGGAACGTTTTGAATTTATTAGGATTTAGAAATATTTCTGATAGTTTTCATAAAAAAGATAGATATAAACGATATGTTCTTAAAAGTGATATTACTGGATATGACCAAGAAAAATAAATATGGATATGGGGCTAAATACCCATACAGCCTATACTCAACGTATTGGCCTATTTTTTTTTTTTTTTTTGAGCGAAGAAAAAAAACACAAAATCAAGTTACTCTCTTACTACAGTTAAAAAAATAGCTTAATACGCTAAGTATAGTTATTTTTTCTGTAGTAACTTAAAAAAAGCTTAGTTACTACACCTACTACAGTAAATCCCTGTAGTAAGTGAAAAAACGGAAAAATTAAGTAATTAAAAATCGTATTACTATAAAAAACGGCTTATATGGCCTCCAAACGTTAATAATCATAACTGTAGTAAGAGAGTAGGTTAATTTTAACTTTTTTTTTCTCTGGGGATTTTTTTTTTTTTGGCGAGCGTAAAAAAATATATAGTATATAATAAAATTTGATAATTATGAATGAAAAAAAAGAATTAAAAAAATTTTGGGGAGTTGTGGAGCTAATGGGACATTTAAAATTAGCAGGGCAATTAAGCGAGGAAACAATATTTGGTAGCACGATGCTAAGAATTGATGTCCCTGAAGCTGGTAGTATTGGACAATACACACGTTATTTTTCATCAAATGCAATTTATAGTGTAATACCTACTACAAAAGAAATTGCAGTTATGAAGGCAAAGGAATGGGAGGAAAAACCAGTGTATTTATACAATAATAACACTGTTATTAGGGAACATGTATTAGAATTAGAATCTAATGAAGATGATGATAATGACCCCTTCTAGTTTTATGGGAAGTATAATAACTGAAAATGGTGGAAAGTATACAGGCTGTATAAGTGAAGTTAGCATTTTCGGTACTGTAATGTTAATGATTACAGTGGATGGCGATAATTATTTTTTCGCAGGCAGGTATATTCTAGCCATTATGCCTGAGGTTAAGGAAGAGGAAGAAGAAATTGATATGTCAACGATAAAAGTTTTTGAGCCACTGACTGAAAAAATGATAAATAAATTAGGACTAACAAAAAACAAAAATGAAGAAATACCCTCAGTACCTTCAAAGTAGAGATACTTTTGAACAAGTGAAAATAATCGATGAGAATAGCCATGCGATAATAGTCTGTAGAAAAGACTTATGGGGATATAGAAGGAGTATGGAGCTAAAAGAAAGGACAGATTCTTTTGATAAGGCAAGGTTTCAGAACACGGATGAATACATCGTAAGTTCTGAGTATAATTATTTAAAATTCGTAAAGTATTACGCTAAACACGTAGCAGAATGGACACAAAAATTATTGCAAAATGAAAAATAAAAAGACAAAAACACAGGAAATTACAATCTTACAAGAGTTAGAAGATTTCATACACAGGTTAACTATAGAGGAATTTGATACACTTGAAAAAAATATAGCTCGCGATGGCTGTCGCGAACCCCTCACCGTCTGGGAAAATGATGGAAAAATAATTTTGGTTGATGGGCACAATAGATACGCCATCTGCAAGAAAAATGATATTGATTTCAAGGTCTACCCTACACACTTTGAAAACCTAACCGATGTAAAGAATTGGATGATAGAAAACCAACTTGGACGTAGGAACCTCACAAAAGAGCAACAAAGTTATTTGCGAGGAAAAGCATATAATAACGAAAAAAATGAGCAAGGCTCAAACCAGTGGAAAAAAAATGGGGATGGCACAGCAAACAAATTATCAAAAAGATACAAAGTAGCACCAAGGACAATCCAGCGAGATGAAAAATACATGAAAGGGGTAGATAAACTGATAGAAGCCCTCAATGATGTAATATCACCTGAAAGCGCGAAAATTTTTAAAGAAAAAATTCTTTCAAGGGCAATAATCATATCTAAAAATGATATGATTATGGTTGAAAATCTTGATGAAAACGAGCTTCAATCACTGGCAATTGATTTGAAAATGAATCTTGTAGACCCAGAGATACCTTTCTCAGAGCTAAGAAACAGGCTAAAGCACCTTAAAATACTTGAGGAATGCGCTAATATAGTTATAAAGAAAGGTTTTGAATATTCAAAGGTAAGTAAATTGAGTTATCACTTGTCTCATGAAAAACTATACATCCAACTTTCTTTTGTACACCCAGAGGGGTTCAAGATATTCTATATGGATAGAACCAGCAAGGAAGAATTTGAAAAAACCGTGTATTCTGAGGAAGAATGCAAAAGTTATTTGGAGGCAATTGTTTCTGCGATTTCATTTAGAAAGGAAGCAATTACATCAATAGATATAGAAATTATTAAAGGAATTTTAGAGGATTTTCCACCCAAAAAAATTGAAGGCTTTAATATGACAAAAACGAGTGAAACCAGCTTAATTTTGAGCAGAGAAGAAAGTTTATCTAATTTTATCCTGCAAGTTTTTGCTAGAGATGGCTCTATATTTTACAAGGATGAAGCGGGGGTTGAGAGCGATGAAATTGGGTATCACGAAATAAGGGAGTACATTCTTAGTATAGTTAAACCTGAAGAAAAAGTATACCCCACACAAGACCATGAGTTTTCAGCTGCAAGTGGGCAAATTTTGGTAGAAGTAGAAAATACAGATACCGAAACAATAGATAACATCATTAATGCATTTTCCTTGTCAAAACACAAAGAATTCAAATTTGAAAAAACAAATAAAAACACTTTTGTTTTGAGTAGCAAGACTGACGAATTCTTATTATGTGTTTTTGCTAGAGATGGTTATCTGTTTTACAAGAGCGAAACGGGAGAAGAAAGCAATGTAGTTGAATATAATGATGTGATTAGATGTATAATTTCTATTGTAGAAGAAAAAGAGAAGGAAGAAGAATTAGGAATAGAATTTCAAACCAACCTTCCGTATGATGTAATAAAATCAATGCAATCTGTATTTAGCCTCAATTTCATTGATTATTTAACCTGCGAGTTCATAAATAAGGAAACTACGGTTGATTGCAAACTTTTTTTTGATGCTGAAAAATTAAGTTATACAATTTCTGGAGCCATATTAAGGAATAAAATATTTTTAGATGGGTTGGGTGAAAAAGAAATGAGCGAGAAAATAGATTACTTGGTCAAATATTCTCGTGGAGGTGCCAGCTTTCCATATCAACAATTTGGGATTGAAAATAAAAAAGAATCTACATTTCAGGAAATAGAAAAAGGCAAGAAAGAAGTAGAAGAAAAGGATGAAACTGAATGTTATTTTCCAAAAAACTATGAGTTTTCACCTGCAAGTGGACGAATTATAGGAGAGGATAATACGGATTATTATGATAAGGAACTAATGAATGAATTTCATGGCCTATATTCCGAAATGCCATTCCCTGGTCAAAAAAACTTAGTAGTTATTCCCCGCGAGCAGTACAAATACTTTCGTGGGTCTTCTGATTTTTTTTGGGGTGAATGTGCAAAGCTGATAGAAGAAAACAATCTTCAAAAATCAGAGAGAAGCAAGCTTGAAAAGAAAGCCAAAAAATTAAGCTCAAAGCTTGAAAAAATTTCAGATGAATTGTATGAACTTAAATTCTTCAAGTACCATACGGTTAACAACTTCATTTCTTTTCCAAATTTTAGGCTGAATGATGGAACCCTTCTAAATGAAATAGAAAAAGAACTTCAAGAAAAAGGTTATAACCCCAAGTTGTTGAATGTTGAAAATCTAGGCTATCTGAACATATACCTAGATAGCCCAAGATGGGACATAGGCAGTCCTGAAGGTGTAGAAGAAGTGATTGAAATAGTGAAGGAATGTTCTATTGATTACCAAAAACAAATAATTAAATGTCTGAATTAGAAAAGGAAAAATATGAATTCATAAAAAACTCTTTTGAAGAAAAAGGTTACTTATCATGCACTTGTGAAAATTATGATTTTATAAACTATTATGCTAAGTTTTTTGAGAAAAAAAGATATAGTTCTCGCAGCGCAATATTATCATTTAAGAAAAACATGAAACTTCTTGAAAAAAATGGCATAGGAAGAATATATAAATTGAAATCAGATTTTGTTGTAAAGGCAGACACAGGAATGAGGGTAGTATGGAGTATGAATCAAGAAATAGATAAACTGATAGATAATGAATCAAAGTAGAATATTCCAACAAAACGGTGCAAGTGCCACGCTCATTAACTGGGCGACTTCGCGCTTGCCAGATATATTGCTAATATTGGGTATCGCGATTCGCTCAGCATTAGCCATTATTACAGTATTGCATTTTTTCCACCTATTCCGATTCATAAAAGTAGATATTCTACAATATGGGATTTCCGTAGTTTTGGGAGTTTGTGCTGAGGCAAGTTTTATGGCGAGTTCAATCGTAAGCGCGGAGCTTCGCCTCAAAAAAATGAATGGCTATAGTTGGCTATTCATCGTGTACACCCTACTTGGCTCAGGTGTACTCAATGGGTTTTTCCTCTATTGGTCAAGCCAAACGGAAAGTGTATGGCTGGCAAGTGTTGATAGTCCTTTTCAATTACTAACCGTTTTGATAGCTTGCAATATGATTGCGATACTCTTGGCCGAAGGTTCTGGCTTCCTTCGCTTGGCTGACATCCAACGTGAAAACGGAAAAGCGGAAAAACGGAAAGTGGAAACGGAAGCGGAAAATTTTCCGAAAACGGAAAAGCGGAAAAACGGAAAGGAAAGCGGAAAAATGGAAAATAAGAGCTTTACAAAAGAAGATATTATTTTCAAAATTCGGAAATTTTTCGCTTCCGAATCACAAATGCTTAACTTTGTAAATGCTTTGGAATATGATTTATTTTCCGCTTCCGAAATTTCGGAAATAGTCCAATTAGCTGAGGAAACGGCGAAAAAACGGAAAAGCGGAAAAACGGAAAGTGGAAACGGAAGCGGAAAATTTTCCGAAAACGGAAAAGCGGAAAAACGGAAAGTGGAAACGGAAGCGGAAAATTTTCCGAAAACGGAAAAGCGGAAAAACGGAAAGGAAATCGGAAAAACGGAAATAAAAACGGAAAGCATAGCTAGGCTAGGGGAGAAGCACACCGAACTAATTCAAAAAATCGGAAGCGGAAAAACAGACAAGGAAATTTCCGTTTTGCTTGCCATTTCCACCAGAACTATTCGGAATAGGCTTTCCGAAATAGCGGAAATTTTAGGTTTGGAAAGCGGAAAGGAAGTAAGGAAAGAAACTAAAAACATTTTAAATTTACTGGAATATGCATAATCAAGATACAGCAAATAAAGGAAGTGGGAGTTCTGGAAAAAAAACTCAATTTTCTGGCAGATGCCTATACGTTAATGGAATCAAATACTTGGTTGATATTGATAGTCTCAATATAAAAACACACTGCCACAGGTGCAAACAAGATGTTCGCGCAGGGGAAGAATACTTTAGTAATTTTGTTTGCATAGGAGAAGTGCATTATGTAGCACATTTTCACGCCATTTGTCACAAAAAGAATGAAGATGATGGTCATTATAGATTATCAAAAGAAATTTAATCAAAATCAGTGAACTATCCAGATTGCCCAGACTTTAATTAGTGACTAGCACTGCTTATCAGAATGGGTACATAATTGTTTAAATATAAAATAACAAATTATGATTAAAAAAATAATAGATATATTTTGCAAGCCTATTGAGATGATTGCATCTCACTTTCCAACTAGGTTTATGGTTATTGTAGTAATATTGTATACACTAATAGAACTTTTACGAAAATGAAGAAAAGAATTATAATTGGAGGCCGTGGATCCCAAAAAAATTTATGGGCAAAAAAAAATAACAGAAGAATTAAAACAAAAAAGGATTAGCCAAAATGACCAGTCCAAAAACATTGCGAATTCGGAAGAATTTATGAGTTTGTAACCAATTCTTTTTACGAGCAAGATGCAAAAGAAGGGAAGCCAGATGCGTGAACAAGTAGATATAAAGGTGCAATTACCGAAATATGATTTTTGGAAATTTGTTTGGACTTTGCTGAAAGTTTTGATAGCAGTCTACTTGTCTTATGCAACAGGCTTGGATACTCTTGAAAGCATCCTAATTATACTTGGTATTTGGATGCTTTCAGTAGCATTCTACTTAGCAAAAATATATAGGCATAGCTATAAAAAACATATTTTAAGCCTGTATGAAGAAATTGATGAACTAAAACAACAAATAAATAATGGACAAAAAAAATAAAGTAGAACAAAAAGGAAATCTTATCATTGCTATGCAATATTTCAAAGCAGATGGCAATGAAACTAAAACCAAAAAAGAGAGTCTAATTGACTTGAATGATTTAATTGGATCAGAATATGATTTTGGAACAGGGCACTTGTGGATCACATACAAAAGCAGTCTATCAAGTCTAGGATATTTTTTTGACCATAACATAGATTTAGGGGGAGAAGTATTTGAAATAATCAAATCTCACATACTTAATAACAACCGTACAACATAATGTCATTTTTTCATTATACAAATAGTAGTATATTTGAATAATGTCTACTATACAAGAGCTTAATAATTTTTTCCAATCTATTTCCGTAAACTTGGTAGAAAAAGGCACGAATAATCGTGTCTTTTTGCCTTTTACGCTCAATGAGATTAATTACGATTATATATTTTCTAGCACAAATTATATAAGCGAAAGAATAGTCACCTATTCTAAGTCGGGTACAAACTACCCTGTTCTGGCAGTAGCCCTAAATGAAGACATCGCACAAAATTCAAATGGGGATAATAACAGGGCTGTGCAAAATGGAGTTTTTCAAATATTGTACTTAGTAGAGCAAGGCGATTTCAAAGCACAAGATAATGCTTGGATTAATGCTTATGAGATAGCTAGGCAAATTCGCACTAGAATGCGCGATTACAAGAGAAGCTCAGCTTATTGCAATAACTTTATGGTGCAAGGCATCCAAAAAGTAGCCAGACAAGTAGAAAATAAAAGTGCTGATTATCTATATGGAGTATCACAACATTTTGTTTTTGATGTCTCTGAGAATCTCGTAACCGATATAGCGGTATGGTTGGACTTGCAATAGCGGACTGGCTCACTGAGGCCATTAAAGAAGTGAAAGGAAATACAGTCAAATTTAGGGCTGGATTTGTAAGAACACCTTACTATGCAGCAAAAAGGGGAGTGGAATTCATTTCTATATATTTTGATACATACCCTGACGCAGATAGCGTAAGGCTGGAAATACCAGCCATTTCTGAAAAAATGGGTCGCAGGGGATGGGTTGAAAAAAATGTAAAAGTGGTGATTGAAGTCAAAAAAAAGGATTTTATAGAATTTCTAACAGAATTTGAAGCGCGGAAAATAGGAGAGTTGTACAGGGAATTCCTAAATAAAATCTGCAAAATCAAAAAAGAAGATGGCTCTAAACGAGGACGTAAATAAATTAATTCGCAATGAAGAAGTGCTTCTAAAAAAACAATTAAAAAGATTTGGAATTGAAGATAGCGGGAAGCTAATATTTTCAATTGATATAGAAAATAATGAAAATAATGGTGATTTTATTATTAACCTAAAATATCTTGAATACGCGCTTATCAATCAACACCGCTCATATAGGCGCGGAAGGATTGAAAGTAAGGATTCAAAAATCAAGAAAAACCCAAGGCGTTATAGAATTATTTTTAACGCATTCAAAAGAATTGAAAGAAAACTTACCGATATTCTTATTGCTCACAATGATGAACGTTTTGTGAGAGTACTGGAAGAAAGTATAGGAAGCATATAATATGGCAGCAGATAGTACCGTAACTAGGAAACTTGTTGTTGATGGAAAACAAGTTGAAAACACCTTCAGAGATTTGAACTCCGCGGCAAATAAGCTGCGCAGGGAAATGAAAAATCTTGAAGAAGGTACGGAAGAATATGCCAAAAAATCAAAAGAACTTCAAAAAATTAGTCCAACCCTCAATAAGATTAGAAAGGATATGCGAGGGCTTGGGCAAGAACAGCAAAAAACAGGAAACCTATTTGGGAAACTCACAAAAGGCATCAAATTAGGAGGTGCTACTATAGTAGGGGTTGTGTTAGCCATTTCAGCAGCGTTTGTCAATGTTGTCAAAGATGCATTTGCAGCCACAACAGAAGTCAATAAGCTAAGAAAATCCCTTAATCAACTTACAGGAGAAACAGGAGAAGATTTAGACACACTCACGGCAAAAACAAAAGCCTTAGCCGATGCGTTTGACAAGGATCTAAATGAAGTTACGGCCGCGGCCAATAACCTATCCAAGCAAATGGGAATTAGCTTTGAGGAATCCTTAGACTTAATTCAAAAAGGTTTTATTAAGGGAGCCGATTCTCAAGATGATTTCCTAAACAAAGTCAAAGAATACCCAGTTCAATTTAAAAATTCAGGGCTATCAGCCGAGGAATTTATTCAGATTGCCACGCAAGAGGCGCGTGGAGGCGTGTTTGATGACAAGTTACTTGATACAGTCAAGGAACTCGGTTTGCGTCTTCGCCAGCTTACACCTACTGCACAAGCTGCACTTGATTTGCTTGGTGAAGGGTTTTCAAAAGAATTACAGCAAGATATTAATTCAGGTACTGTATCTACTATAGAGGCGTTTGAAAAGATAACAGCAAGGGCAAAAGAACTAGGGCTTACTACTTCTCAAACACAAACAATTATTGCTGATTTAGGGGCAGGAGCACTTGAAGATTTGGGGGGCTTGGAAGAAGCTACTAAGCAACTTAATGCAGCCCAAGAGCTTAACTTAGACACCCTCACAGAATCGGAGCAAGCTCAAAAAACCCAAATAGAGCTTATTGAACAAAGGGCAAGAGCGGAAAATGAACTGGCAAAAGAAACAAGGCAAGGAGCTGCTATCTTCAAAAACCTTCAAATCCAATTCCAAACTTTTGTCACAAAAGGCATTACATTGGTTGTAAAGGGCATCAATCAAGTAATAGAGTTTTTTAAGAATTTATATGAAAACTCAGTTATTGTAAGGGGTGCTATAGAGGTATTAGGTTTTGCATTTCGCACTGCCTTCAATATTATTGTGGGTATTGTCAAGACTGCTGTAGGTGTTATCAAGCAAACATTTGGGGTGCTTGCAGACATTATAAGTCTTGATTTTGAATCACTCGGAAATCGGATTCAAAAAGCTTTTTCTTTGTCGACAGACACAATAATTTCCCAAACGCAAAAATTAAAAAGAGAAGTAAAGCAAAATCTTGAAAATATAGACTTATCAAAAGTTCCTCCGCAGTTCAGGAAAGCTTTTGAAAAAGCAGCCGAAGAAGCAAAAAAGGGTTTGGAAACAGGTATAGGAGGCGAAGCCCTCACGTCCAGCTTTCTTAACAATGCGCTAAAGGGATTGTCTGCAGTAGTAAAGGAAATACCTGAATCGGTCAACAGCATCATCGAACAGGTTAATCAGGGAGTTGTAAGTGTTGAACAGGGCATAACTAGCATCACAAAAGCCCTTAACGAACAAGGTTTTACAGACAATCAAATCACTAAGTTTATTGATCAGTTAGGGCCTCAATTTGAAGAAGCAAAACAAAAGCAAAAACAGTTGTTTGCAGCACAGCAAGAAGCGCAAAAAAAACAACTTGAAACGCTTAAAAATGCACGCGAAAAAGCAAGACAAGAAGAACTTGCTTCTCAAAAAGCCATCCAAGATTTACGGATTGAAGTGATGGAAGAAGGCTTTGAAAAAGAAAGTGCAAGACTCAAACTTCAAAGGGAGCGCGAACTTGAAGAAGTGAAAGGAAGCGAGGAGCAAAAAAGACAGCAAATATTATTAATTAACCAGCGATTTGACCAGGAGCAAGACAAGCTAGAAGCTGAGCGAAAAGAAGAACAAAAGCAAAAAGAAGAAGAAGAATTTCAAGAAGAACTTGAAAACATAGATTTGAAGGAAGAAGAACGGCAACTTAAACTAGAAGAAAAATTTATAAATGGACTTGAAACAGAAAAAACCAGACAAGAAGCTTTCCTAGATTTAGAAAAAGAATTCCTAAACCAGCGCTTGACTTTGCTTCAAGAAGCTGGGAAAGGCGAAACCTCTGAGGCTTTTGAGATAAGTAAGCAATTGCTAGATATTCAAAAGAAGCGGCAAGAGCAAGAAGTAGCTAATGAAGAATTAACCAGAAAAGCCAAAGAACAAATCAGGGAACTCGATTTTGCAACCGCTAAAAATTTTGTAGGGCTTTTTACCTCGCTGGCAGGTGAAAGCGCAGCAGCCCAAAAATTCGCCTTAATAGCTGAAGCATTTGAGGCCATTGCCAGTATCAAAATCAATACAGCCAAATCTATTGTAGCATTCCGAGCCAGCCCGCTCGGCATTTTGGTGCCTGGTGCCGCCGAAGCTTTTGCAGCAAAAGCAAAAATACAATCTGGAATTGCGATTGGACAAGTATTGGCAGCAAAAGCGACTCAGTTTTTTGCCCGTGATGGGGGAATTTTCAGAACTGGAGGCTTTGTAAAAAAATTATCAAAGGGAGGTGTACCTGCAGGACCTTCGCACGCGCAGGGAGGGATTGGGCTGATTGATAATCGTACTGGAAGAACATTGGGAGAGATGGAAGGTAGAGAGCCTATTATGATTCTATCAAAAAATACTTACCGAAATAATGGTGAAGTAATTGATAGACTTCTCAATTCTTCTACTCAGCAAAACGGCGCGCCTATTTTTCAGCAGGGAGGAATTATTGGCGAATCGCCTGCTTCTAGCGCATCGCAAGAAGCAACTGGAAGCACAGAACAGTCAGTAGAGCAAAGCTCAGAACTTCAATTAGAATTAATTAATAGAATAGATGCATTAATTATAGTAATTGAAGAAAATGCACAGTCTTTTCGTAGTGTTCGCGCAGTGGTGGATACAGTGCAATTAGTAGATGAGTTAGAAGACACTGGCACTGTAGTAAATGAAGCAAATTTCTAAGTAATATGGCATTAGATACATACACAAATACCAACGGAAGTTTAGGGAGCTTAAAAGAAATAACGATCTACTTCATAGAGGATGTTCAAAATGACGACCCTAATAATTTTGTAGCAGATAATCCTCAAGTAATCTATTATATAGAAGATACAGCTAATTTGAGCGAACGCAGAAAAAGAGACCCAAACGGCTCTTATGTAGATGCAAGTATTGAATTCATAGTACCACAAGACAGAATTGAGCTAATAGATTGGATTAATGCAAACAAGGATAGGTTTTTTATTGCGCTTACAAAAGATGCGCAGGATACTGATAGGTTCGTAGGGAACAAAACATTCCCTTTAGAGTTTACCGAAAATTATGATTCAAAGAAAAGCATAGCGGAAAGAAACGATTACCGTTTCCAACTCGCTGGCAGGTATTTTTTGAAAGTAGCCACTGACTTGAATCCAATTTACGCGTTAAATTTTGATGGCGTGAATGATTATGCGCAAAATGGAGCGACTCCTTTTGTGCAGTGGGAACGTACCCAAGATTTTACTTTCTATCTTAATTTGGAAAATGTGGACAATATAGCTCAGCAGGTTATATTTGATACGCGAATAAGTGACAATACCTTTCCTGGCATTATCATCCAAATAATTGCTGGAAATATTGTTTTTCAACTCAGGTCTACTTCAATCAATAGATACATTGCAATTGCAGCGATTGGCGCGACAAAGCAAAATATACAAGTCGTTTGGAATGGAAGTGCACTGACTTTTTACGGTGATGGCATACTGCTCACGCCGACAGTAGTAGAAAATACCCTCACAACAAGCATCATCAATACCGATAATAGTTTTGTGATTGGTGCCAAGATTGCCACAGGCACCGACTTTTTTTACCAAGGCAAAATAAACTGGATTAGTTTTGTTGATTACGCAAAAAATATCAACGAAGTTATTACAGATTATGAAACAGGAGTGCAAGACCAAGGAACAGGCAGTTTTTTACTGGCCTTAAATTTCAACCAAACATCTGGCATTAGTTTTCAAAGTGTAGACAGCAAGGCCTACACAATTAATATATTTGGGCAAGGCACGGAAGGGGATTGGATTTGTTACGAAAATTGTACATAAAAATATGAGTAATCAAATGTATTACTATTGGGTACCTTTTGCCTATATGACTGAATTAGCATCCCTGCAAGCTGAAATATTGGAAAACCTAAAAATTTCAATTTGCGGATACTATGATAAGAGCATTGTGGAATCACACCAAAGCAAAGTTGATTCTACAATAAAAGATGAAAAAGGGGAGTTAATCCCTTCTTCTTATACTGTAGATACAGATGCCAATGAAATATGTAAATATGAAATAATTGGATATACACTGCAAGGAATGATACCAAGTGACACAGAATCAGAAATATTTGATTGGGGAGAAGGAATCGTGAAAAGGAGAAACCCAGATGATATGCACAAATTCCTCAAAACATTATAAAAGTATGGCAATTAATATATTAGACCAACCCCAAAACCAAATTAATTTTATAGACAATTTCATTGCCTATAAAATTGAAAATACGCTAGGGAATAGGACGAGTGTGTGGATTGAAGTTAATGGAGGCCCAACTATAGAAACCATCCAAGGCAAGCCAGATGCTAATGATGAAATTGTATTCCAAGAAATTGGCAGAATTTTACGCCCTTTTCTTACTTTCCATCTTCCTGTATTTGGAGGAAATAATACCGAAAACCTGCTTGCAAGTTTTTCTATAGAATTCAGTGATGGCGTAGATAATGCAATTGCTCCGCTTCGTTACACACATTTTGGCTCCCTTAATTATATTGACTACAAAACCATCAATTATTTTGAAAACACAAACCCGCTAATAATGCTTGGTGATACACCAAGCATTAGGTCCACTCGCACAGGGCAAAAAGAATGGTGGAGCGTCATCACCAATCTAGCTTCTAATTTTGATTATGAATTACTGGTTACACGCCTTACAGATTTTTCAACAGAAACAATTAGCTTAGGGCTGCTTAGTCCTTACAATCTTCATATCTTAGATGTAAGCTATGATTATATTCAAGGTCAATTACCTGCGGACTGGCTGGATGGCGTAGACACCTATCGAATACTAATGCGAAATACAATAGGTTCTGTGCAAACCAGCGAAATACAGTATAATGTGGACAGTTCGTACAAAAGGCAAGAAAGATATTACTTGTATGAAAACGGGGTAGGAGGCTTTTCGGTACTACCTTGTTTTGGAGAAAGAACGGACGAAAACAATATAGATAGAAGCATTACGCAAAAATTCGTGAATTATGATTATGCCATCCCGGACGGCCAAGAAAAAATATATAATTCCAATAGCCAAATTGACTTTGAGCAAAGCACAGGTTATTTGGAATCAGACCCAGTAGAACTGCTTGCATTATACAATCAGTTCCTAGAATCTGAAAATGTATATGAAATAGATACAGATAATGAGGAATTAATACCAATTATTGTCACGAGCAACAAAAAGACAAGTGCCAAGGATAATAAGGATATTATAGCATTCGTGTTTGAAGCGCGTTATGCCTTCCAACGAAAAATTAATTAATGGAATATGAAAGACACAGCAGAAAATCAAAAAAATATGCTCTGGAAATTAGCGGGCTATATGCAAGCTAATATAGATATTATGAAAGAAAATTCTAGTGTTGAAAGTAGTAGCACAAACGAAGAAAAAGCATACATTGGAAAGCACTTACGTTTTGTTGAAAAAACCTATAATGATCTTGTAGGCTTCATTGGCAAAGAATTTGGCGATTCGCCTCCGAAAGCAGAAAGAAAACTAACAGCTCCAAAATAAAATATATGGGAATAGCCATACGCGTAAATAATGAATACTTAGATTTGCCTAGTAACCTGCAAATCCGTTTGAATCTCAATAACACCATTTTTGAGGATGATATTGTACAGGGTAGTTTCTCCTATAAATTTCGCTTTGATGCAAGTGATAAAAACAAGCTTATTTTGAAGTACCCTGAAATACCGAGCTATGTAGGTTCCAACAGTATCAAGTATGATGCGGATATATATATTGATGGCATCCTAAGCTTTGAAGGAACCCTGCGCCTTATTCGCCCAAGCAACTCCGAATTTTACAGTGCTGACCTAGTGTTAGATGTGGGTACATTTGCCCGTAATTATGAATCAAAAACCCTCAAAGATATTCTTACAGGCTCGGAAGTATTGCCAGACATTGCTACTAATTACAAATATCACAAGGTTCTGGCTCTCGTAGAATCACCCTTGGTACAAATAGAACTATTAAGGAATGGCGTACAAGTGGCAACCGAAGGAACCCCTGCAAGTGTTGCGGCTGGACTTTTGGAGCTGGCAAGTGACTATAATGGCGCGCAAATAGATTATTTTGCGTATGCTATTAATAATGATTTTTGGGTTTTTCCAGTAGCCGATAATGATGCTGCTCTTTTTGAAATTAGGTACAATGCATCTGATTTGACCAAATACGCATTGAGTTTGGAGACTGAAAACAAAATTGATTTTCCAAATACTAACAGCGACCACTTTGAATTCCCTACCCTTCGCTATGTCAATGAATTTTACCAGGACAAAAATCTTGATTTTTTTGGGGATATGAATGCCTACACAGGAGGCGTATACCTATATAATACATTAAAAAACCGCTTGAATAATTATGCATTTTCGCCTCAACTGAAATTATTTTTCTTATTAGATGAATTATTTTCAGAAAGCGGGTATAGCTGGGATGGCGATTTTAAGCTAGACAGTGAACTGGCTGAGCTGCTAGTGTTCAATACTTATGCTATTGACGAACAATTACCTGACTTGGATGGGCTTGTGTTCAACGCCCATGACCGCGATGTCTTGTATGAAAACCACGTGCCCGATATTTCTTTTTCTGAGCTTCTACACGCTTTGCAAAAAATATTTTGCTTAGGATACATTATAGACAATGGCACCAAAAACGTAAGCTTCAATTTACGAAAAAACGTTTTTAGTGCCGACTATGTAGACTGGACAGACAAGATAGTGCGAAGGGTAGAAAACAATCAAATGAAGGAGTCTACAAATAACGAGCTAAAATGGATTGATGACGACATTCCTGTATCAGGAAACGGAAACGACCCTTTTTTTGGGTCTTATACTGCGGACGCTGGCAAGGAAAAAACAAGTGTTATTGAATCGGCTGGCGTGGGACTTCGCTATGAAAACGACCTTACGCCTCCTGCTACAATTCCTGAAGAATCACCAGGCAACTCTCAGATGTTTGACCTTGGTATTCAAAATGATTTTGTATTGCGTTTGCAGTTCTGGCGCGGAATCGTACAAGATTCTCCTATTATGCAATCTGGTATTCCTCCTGCTGTATTGGCAAATTATACACTGGAATGGGATGATTTGACAAATGGATTGTATACGCAGTTCTGGACAGAGTGGCTAGACTTTTTGCAGAATACAAAAGTGTACAAGGAAAATATCATTTTGACAGGAAATGATATTCGCAGGTTTTCGGAGTTGCAAACAATGCGCGTGAGAATAGATAATCAATTCTACCTTGTGCGAAATATTGATGCAACTGCACGCAATACCTTTGAGGCTTTTTCTACACCCGCACAGGTAGAATTGTGGTTAATACCCTAACTTTTTTTGTATAGCAACTTGGCTTTTTCCGCTTCGTATTCTTCTTTACTCAATGCACCTGCTTCTTTAAGCTTATGAAGTTTGGCAATTTGCTCAGGCACATCTTTTTCCTGAATAATATCCGTTTTTACCTCTTCCTTCTTTGCTTCTCCCGTGTTAAATTTTGCATCAAATTTTTCTTGTGGCATGCTTAGGTATTCTATGCCCTCAAAAAATCCTATAATAGCTGGCACAAGTGTCCAGCACAATAGCAAGTACGGAAGTCCATTTTTATCCAAATAGAATTTATGGATGCCCAAGCCTCCCAAAATAATACCGAGCAAGCCCGCAGTCGTTTTGTCGTATTTAGGTTTTTGCATAATCTTGTTTTTTGTTTTAACAAATATAGAAGGTTTTAAAATATTCGTGCATATCAACAGCAAATATATGATATTTAGTATATCTATTATTTTTGCTATCTTTACAACTAGAATAGTTTTAATAATAGTCACGCATGAAGAAAGAAAATCAAGAAGAATCCCCAAAGTTTGATACTATAAAAGAAGCATTTGAATATTTCTTAAGTGAAGTATATCCAGAAATACCCGCCCAAATAAAAAAAGAAAACAGATTGTCCGAAACAAAATACGAATATGGCAAGGGAATGGTATCTTCTAAAAGAATGACAAGATTGTTAAACAAGTTCGGGCAAGTAAAAATTGTTTACCTTAAAAAATAACGCTATATATTTGATATTTAGCATTAATTATTTATAATTGCAATGCAAATAAAGACAAACCCCAATCCATTGTCTAAACTTTTTGGGGTTCTATTATTAATATTTACAAAAATAACATTGCAAAAATATGAAAAACAACGAACTTATCCCTTTTCAGGGAACACAAATTCCTTATGTTGTACAAAATGACAAGATTTGGATAGCGATTAGGCCAATTGCTACAGCCATTGGCATCAATGTAGATGCCGCTTTAAGAGGTGTTAAAAATGATGAAATCCTAAGTGAACTACATACTGAACAGTATGTGGTTGCCAACGATGGCAAGGAAAGATTAATGTTGTGTTTACCCCTTGATTACTTGCCTGGCTGGCTGTTCAGCATTGACCACAACAAAGCCAATCACCAAGCTCGCGAAAACCTTTTACTTTACAAGCGTGAATGTTATCAAGCGTTGCATAGTCATTTCTTCGGAAAGCACAAAGTAGTTGAGGGAAATATGCGACGGATTCAACGACTCAACTGGGAACTACAAGAATTATCCAGTAAAATGAAGGATGTTAGAAAGGAAATTAAAGAGCTGGAAGCATCCAATATACAAGCCTATCAATTGTCTGAAAAAGAAAGAACCCCACACGCCTCGCAAGCTTAGGGGTTCTATTCTCATTATTGGATAAACAATAATAGTCATTACAAATATGGATAAAATTATAAATAAACAAGCAATAGATAGGGTAAAAGAAATAGAATTCCTAGATATTTTTGGAAGCCTTGTCAGGAACGCCGAAGCCATTACAACAAAATGTAATGCGGTTATACATACCTACAAAGAATTAGATGCCGAGCAATATGCACTCATGTGCGATACTATGATTGGACACTTAAACCGTTTAAATAGTTTGGTAGATAATGATTTGGGTGGTAAATTTAGAGAGTTAACTCCATAAGATAATTGTTTTATTGCACTTCGTGGTTTTTATTGCGGAGTACAATATTTTAAAAAAATTAGCATTATGAAATCAAAAGAAGAAGTAAAAAATAAAATACTAAAACAATTTCCAGAAATAAAATTTGAGTTTGAATTGGAATTTATGGGAGATTGGCAGTTAAGTTTTTCCTCTAAGTCAGTCGTGATGTCTTTAAGTATAGATATTAGTATTCTATCTTTAGAATACGATTTTTTTTCAATAAAATTAGGTGCATATCCTGATGAAATAAATGATATGCAAAGCAAAAACATATCTTTTGAGGAAGTGGAATTTTTGTTGATTGACTTTCTTGTTACTGTTTTTGATTATGCGGACAAAAATAGTATTGAAATAACATAAAACTATAGAGGAATATGGAAGGATTACATGATTATTTTAATTGTCAAGAGCCTGCTGGAGTATCAGCAGAAAGCTTCGTGAATTCAGAAAGCCTTAAAGAGCAATATCCTTTTCTAAGAATATTATTCGGAATAGACTATCTTAATTTGAGTACAGATGTAAAAGATGGAAGTATGGTTCTTGCTACCATTTCAGGAGACTTAGCAGCAGAAAATGAACTAGAAAGGAAATTTTTTCAATTATTTTTCACGAAAATGGAATCTATATTTCGTGGTCAGTTTGAAGTTTTTTCCAAAGTAGACTGTTATCCAATGCCTGGAATATATAAGATTAATATAGACACAAGGATACTAGCAAGTTACTCAATACCTTCCCATGAACTTCTAACTAACCTACTTTATATACTACACAGTACAGACGAAGAAAATCACAAATTAGCAATTTGCCTAATGAATGGCTATTTTTATGAAATCACAAACCAATCTTTGATATGATGACCGAAGAAGAATACCGTAACGCGATGGGCGATTACGCAATTACTAAGCATCCGAATTTGCAGTGCGCTCTATCTGATTTTTTTTGCTCAGGGGACAGGGCACAGGGCACAATATTCTTATAGTCTTAGTGAATTAGAAGATTCATTTTGCTGTATTTTGGAAGGGCTTTATTTTAGTATATGTGTGTTTGTTCCTTTTGAAAAATCATTACATTCGTTGGGTGTTTATTGGGAAGGTTTTTTGAATATGCTTTCAGAAGTTTGGGATTACCTTATACAGCAAGGGCTTTCAAAATACACAGGGCAAAAAATAACATTAATACATTCATTATAAATTTATGATACTCACAAACGAAAAAAACTAATTAAATGAAAGAATTAATTTTAAAGGCATTAGAAAATTACAAGAAAGGCATTGAGCCTGTTTTGAGCAATGAGCAAATGGATTTTGTGAAAGACAAAATCCATAGAGCTAATATTCAAGAGCGTAACGATAAGTATATCGTAAAATCTGTCTTTGATACGGGAAATAGTATTTTGAGCAAAATACTTGCAGGGACTGGCTACATAGCAACGTTGGAAAGTTTGGGACTCGAATATCCTTTTATTAAAATAGACATTAATGAAGCAAGCTTTCAATAAAATTGAAGAATACTTTATAACTAAAAAAACTAATTAAATGAAAGAAAAAACAAACCTAAAAACCATTCGATTTGAGATGGTACTTCAAACAGAAGTAAAAGTTAAGGAAAGCAAAGAAAAAGGTAGTAATCAGATATTATCTGTAAATATAGGTATCCAAGATGGAGACCCAAATGGCATTATGATTGGTTCTGAAGAAGGAAATACCTATATTACAGATAACTGGCAAACTCCTGATGGCAATATGAACTTGGAAGGAGCCAATGCATTGCAGCAAATACTTGTAGCTGGACTTATGAAACATATTATGATGACAAGCACTTTAGGTGTTAAATCATCGGAACAAACCTTCTCAGAATTGGCACATATATTTTCAACACAAGCCAAAAGGCAGATTGAAAAGAAGAAAAATTCCAATAAAAAAAACGGCCAAACAAAGAGTTAATAAAATAAATCGCTATAACATGAAAAATATCTCCTACCCATCAGAGTTTATTAATATGTACAAATTGAAGCCAACAGACAAAACATTAAGCTTATTTGGCCACGATTACAGCCTAGTGGGTAGGAATAAAATATCAAAAGCCAATCACAAACACCTTATTTTGAAGCAAAACGCCAAACAAATAAAGGAGTATTTGATTGGTTTTATCGTGATACGCTTGTTAGATGGTTCTACGGTCAAACAAGCCATTGAAGATTTTTATAAGCATACCAATATATCTGAAGATTCTTACAGCGAAGAATCATTACTTCAATTGTGGAACCGATACGTCAGCCAAATGCGAAAAACCTACAATATGCCCTTTCAAAAAAAGTCTTAAAACTAATGTCATTTTTTCATTATATATTATAGTATATATTTGTAAGAAATGAAATCTACTATACCTTCCTATATTTCTTCGCAAACTCATTGGTTGCTAAGCGAGCGAAAAGCAAACGAATACATGAGTGTTTTGATAGAGCGCTCAAAAGGGATGAATACGCCCGAAAATTACAGGAATTACAACAAAAAAGTAAATGCCTGTGCTTTTGCAACCCTTAGCAAATCAAAGAAAAAGCTTGCCATTGACCGTCGCGTAACTGACCAAGGTGGATTCACAATGTTTTTGGGCGAAGAAAGCGAAGAAGGTATTGCTGTTATCCCCTTAGTTGGTGCAATGTTAAAACGTGGAAATATGACAGGGGACGTGTCGGGTGTTAGGGACACTCGTGATGTTAGCGCGGAAATTAATCAAGCCTTGGAATCAAAGTTTGTAAAAGCAATTGTGTTGGAAATAGACAGTGGAGGGGGTAGTGTTGACGGTACAGAAGAATTGGCTGGTGTTGTGGCTAATGCTGATAAACCTGTTATTGTGTGGGGTGACGGATTGATTGCTTCGGCTGCCTACTGGGTAGCCAGTCAAGCGGACTATATTATGATGTCCAGTGCCACTACTTCGGAAGTAGGAAGTATTGGTGTGTATTCTATTTATGCTAATTATTCAGGGTATTTGGAAAAAGAAGGCGTTGATATGCGAATACTCCGCAGTACTGGAAGCAGTGACAAGGTCGCGCTAAACCCTATAGAAGAACCAAGTCAGGAAGCGATTGATGTAGAAGTCGCTCAAATGGACGTGATTTTAGGAACTTTTACCAAGGCAGTCCGTGGTGCGCGTGCCGAAAAATTGACAAATGCACAAAATCAAGACATTGATGTTTTTACAGGAAAGGTGTTTAATGCGAGTGAAGGCATTGAATTAGGTTTAGTGGATAGCATCGGCACATTAGACGATGCTATCTTTTTAGCAGTTGACATGGCTGCGGATAAATTTTCAGATAATCGTAATAAAAGCCAAGGCACGGGAGGTACTCGTGATGGCAAAACCATAAAAAATAATAATATGGATATATTAAGTCGTCTTGGCGGTATTTTTAAGACTGCTGCCAAAGGAGACGAGGCTGGCGCAGAAACAGAAGCAAACGCCTTGGCTCAAGAAATTAAGAGAAAGGAAACTGAGATAGAAGAAGCAAATGCTAAAATTATGCAATTGCAGGCTCAAAATGAAAACCTATCTAAGGAAGGGGAAGAGCAACAAAAAAGTATTGATTCCAACGAAAACAGATTGGCTGCACTTGAGAAACAGGTGCAAGTAATCGGAGGTCAGCCAGAAGCAGAAACCGTGGAAGGGAATGGCTCAGATGATGGTCTTAATACAGATAGTGGAAATAAATTTAATTCAAAGTACGGGACTGAGGCGGTAAAATCCCTTAAAGTGGCAGGTAAAAAACCTGCTAAAAAAGGGGGTTTAACAATCACGAGAAGGCGATAATTTTTAAGTGTTTCTAGCTGTTTTTTTTCTAAACATTAAATTAATTTTTTTAAAATGGAATATAAATCTATATATGGAACCAATGTTGTTTTTACGGACATTGACCAAGATATTTCCAACTTTGTAACCTATTATGAGCAAGAGATTGCACAGGAAATAAAGTGGGATGGTGAAACAGCGCAGTATTTCACCATAGTGGATAATGTAGAGGGTGTTTACGTGGCACCCTCCTCAACTGTAAAAGAAGTTTTGCAAGCCTATCAAACCCCGTTAACAGGCAAGGGCTTGGTTCAAATTGACCGAGAGTATGGCCAAATACAAAGGTGTAAAACTGATTTTCCTTATGACCCAGTTGAGTTTTATGATGAATGGATTACATTTTTGGATAAAGAAGGGCTTACACCTGAAATGCATCCTTTTGAGATGTACCTTATCGAAGAAGTTGTTAGGCAATATGATGATGACTTGGAAACTTATGCAGCGATTGCCAATAGAAAAGGACCTACTCAAGATGTACCAGGGCAAGCGGAGTATGGATTTAATGGATATTATACCGTACTGAAAAAATTACTAGCCGAAAACAAAATAAGTCCTTTGTCCGAATTTGTTTACGATCCAGATACAGTTTTGGAGGACTTGGAAGATGCCGTACAAAATTTACCCGACAAATACAAAAAAGCGAAAATGAATATGCTTACTTCAATTGAAAATGCAGATGCGTATGCAATTGGGTATCGCCAAGTATATCAGGTAAATGACGGAGTAGATACTTCTCAAGAGATGGTTCAACGCATATACACTACCAATACCATATTGCGAGGTGTAGGATCTATGAATAGTCTTAATATGTTTATTGCTTCTTATATTGGGAATATGAGACTGGCTTTATCAGTAAGAGGCGCGAAAAATATCCAGGCGTGGAAGCAAGGTAGGTTGCAATGGTTATTATATGATTCAGGTTTGGCTTTTGTGTTCGTGTTTCCAAAGTTTATGTTTTTGTGTGGCGAAATGATTGAGCCTCCTGAAATAATCGCCGAAGCACAAAACATCACAGATACCACCGCAGACTTGTCTTGGCGTGAAGTAGCACAAGCTACAGAGTATTTTATCACCGTGTCTACCAACCCAGACCTTTCGGCTCCCCTGATAGACGCTCAAAGTGTTCCTTCAGCTTCCAGTCCTGTAACAACTCCGCTTCCGGGTCAAAATCTTGATACGATAGATTACCGCATTACATTTCAAGCAACAGGCTTGACTGCTGAAACGGAATACTATTGGGGTGTGACTACAAGACTTACTAGCCAAGCACCCGAATCAAAAGAATACAATAGCGTATTCAGCCAAACTGGTACATTTACCACTACTGCCTAATATAGGCTAGTACTTGTGAATTATTTTTCTAAACATTAAAATACTATTAATATATGCTTCCTAATATCGCATACATACCAGGACTAGAAAAGCCAGGCGGATGGGCGCGAAATGATATTATTGTTGTACGCGCTCAGGATGTAGATTTGGATTCGTTTCCATCCCGTGACTCGGATAATATTACTATTTCCTCCCCGCTTCCCATGAAGCAAGGAACCTACGCATCCTTGGTTTATCACACCGAAGATAGTGGTATTGCTACTGCCACAGGACAGGGAGAAATGAAGGGAATGAGTTTTCAATCTTCTGTTGCTTGGCATACTCCTTTTATAGTCTCAAAAAGTGCCAGAAACTTTTTAAGGCAAATAAGTAACCAAGAATTATTCGTTTTTGTAAAGGATTGTGACATGAACGAGTGGAAGTTGCTAGGAGATGCTTGCCGTCAACTTAGCATGGATGGCGGAAACACCACGCTTACCACGGGCGAAGATGGCACTCCTGCCAGTAGGGCAGGAATTACCTATGGGCTAATAGGAGGTGTAGCAGTCCCTGCTGTATACTCGCTTAATCCAAATGGTTTGCTTCTTCAAGCTCCGCTGCAATTAGCACCTACTGCAATTACTGCGGCAGGAGCTACGCTGAACTGGGAAGAAGTCGCTGGCGTGGACGGCTACTATATTGATGTAAGTTCTCAAGAAGATTTCAGTGTTCTGGAAGTAGACAGCAAGCAGATTGTGGGAGGGGCGGTATTAAATGATATAATCGGAGGTCTTGTTGCTGCGACTACTTATTATAGCCGCATACGCAGCTATGTAGGTACTTATGAAAGTGCAAATAGCAACGCTCGCACCTTTACCACGTTGCCCTAAGAATCGAATTATTTACTCTCTTATAGATTGATTTAGCAAATTGAAGGTGATTGCCTTCAATTTGCCATAAATTGCAAAATTTGGATAACATAAACAATAATAGTCATCACGTTCTTATCCTTCTTTTTGCCAATCCTTTTACACTCATTGGGCTTATAAAAATACTTGTAGGAACGTTGCTAATATTAGCATTTAGCACGTTTTGGGATGTATTGCTCAAAAAAAAACTAAAAAGGATTTACTTGCGGTTTTTAAAAAAAAAGAAAGGCAAAAATGAAGTGGATTAGAGACGAAAAAAATATAAGAAGTATTATTGGATTGCTTCTATTTGTAATGTTTTTGGGCATTTTACTTACACTTATAGTTAACCCAAATTCATTAAATCCCAAAACAAATCATATCATTGATATATTTTTGGGCGCATTACTAGTACAAGGAAATCGGATTATAGAGTGGTATTTCCGCTCACCAACAAAGCAATAATAATGAAAGAATACCTTAGAAAGCTTGAAAAATTTCTTTCCTTAAAAAAAGAGGAGCAAACTATAAAAGAAGCTATATTCTTATACAAGCAAATGGAATATTATAATCCTACCATTATGGCATTCCGTAAATGGAAAGTTACAATGTGGGAAAATAAAATTACTAAAAAAAGGCCTGTTAGTATTTCTGTAGTTATTAGATGTCTTTCCCCGCTTCCAGCAAAAATTAAAAGGTACATTGCTAAAAACCCTCAAAAGGATGGGATGCATAGAAAGTTTTTGAAAAAAAATAATCAGAGGCCTTCTAAGGGAATTGACCAAATTTCTGATACCTCCACGCCAGTCATCAAAACAGTTAAAGGTGGCTTGGATGCCTTAAAAGGGAGGCCTTCTACGCCTTCGCCAAGTGACCAGGAAAAAAAACTTGCTTATCATTTCAGGCACAAAAAAAAGAATCTGAGGCATATTAGAGAGGTGCTTCCAGAGAATGTTATAGATATGACAGCTTTAGAAATTGAGCAACAGATTAATGACAAAAGCAATAAAATTCACATAAAAATTAAAGAATATGTTAAAAAAGCTTTAGAACATTCTAAGGAAATTGATACCATTTTAAAACCTAAAAAAGCAAAATAGATGATGAACATATCAGAACAAATTAAGTTACTAGAGCAAAGCATAGCTTGCACAAATAAAGTAATTGAAGACCTTAATTCTCAGCAAAAACCTGTTATGCCATCATCAAGATACAATATTTTGATTGACGAAGGGCACGGCTCCCTGAACCCAGAAGGTATATATACCACTGCTGGGAAATTTTGGGATCACAAAAAAGGAGAGTTTCACCAAGGAAGCATTTTCTATGAAGGTGTATTCAATCGTGTATTGGGTTCCAAGCTTGCCCTAAAATTTGAGCAAAACGGAATTCACTACAAAAAGCTCGCGCACGAGTATAACGATACACCCATGAGCGAGCGCACGGATATAGCCAATACGCATCACACCTATGAACGAAAATCAATTTTAGTGTCTATTCATTCTAATGCATCAAATACGAAAGCACGAGGGTATAGTGTATGGACAAGCCAAGGTCAGACCCAAAGTGATACGTTTGCTGAAATCCTTTGGGAAAACATAGAAAATAAATTGGGTGAACAAATAAAAATGATGAGCCAAGAAGTGTATGATGGCGATCGTGACTATGAAGCGGGTTTTTGGATGCTTACGCGTTCTATATCTCCTGCCATTTTAATAGAACATCTGTTTTTCGATAATTACCAAGATGCCAAGCTTCTAATGAAAGAAGAAATACAAGATGCTTTTGTGTCTTGCATATACGACGCTTGCGTTTGGGCAATGAGTAATATAAATATAAATTAATATGAGTCAAATTATAGACAGTAGGGGTTGGGTTCTTCAAGAATCTGATACATCTGCTGGATACGTTGGATATGCAAATCAAAGATATGCAAAACTATATATGATAGCTCAAGAAGTCGTTAATGGTTCTGTTACAAGTACTCGCTACCATATAGCAGATGCTGATTTTAAAACCGATTGGGATAATCGGGCATCTCTGGATTATAAATACTGGAGTGATTTGGTTACTAATTTTGGAAAATTAATAGGAAGGTATAGCTAATATGAGTTTTTTTGATCCTTTTTCACCGGGAGCAAGCCCTATTGGGTCTCCTGCAATTACGCCAAGTCAAGATCCTCCTGCAAACATATCCGATTTTTGGTACAGGAAAGATGATGGCCCATATAGTAGAGCCAATGGCTTGTATTTC